AGAATATAAATCTTCCACCTTTTCATTTGCGCGTAAATTGTTTTTCGTTTCCATTTTGTTGTCTGTTTTGTATGCAGTTTGTGCTAGGTTGGCTAATAAGAAGGCTCATAATTGGTTCATTATGCTATGCATGACGTGAGCCTCTGTTGATTGTTAAAAAGAAAAATAATAAATTGATTTTATCTTCAGAGCAGTGTACGTGCGTCTGTGAGAATGTGCACTTTCAAGTGTATATGTGTGCGCACGTGTGTATATGTGTGCGCACGTGTGTGTGTGTGTGTGTGTGTGTGTGTGTGTGTGTGTGAGAAGTATGAGTGTGTTTATACTTTGTAAGTGTACATGTGTGTCTATCTGTCTGTCTGTCTGTCTGTCTGCGTGCTTGCATGTGAATGCATCTCAAGTGTGCACGTGTGTATGCATTGTGCATTGTCTATGTGCATGTGTATTTGTGTATCTATTTGTGTATCTGTGTATGCATTGTGTATTGTCCATGTGCATGTGTATTTGTGTATCTATGTCTGTATCTGTTTGTTCACAATCCCATTTCCTTATAAAATGTAAGACGCAGAATGTTGGAGTGAAGAGCTCAACATGAAATCGTGACCAATATTTTTTTGAATCTAAAAAAAGCTCTACATGTCGAAGAAATACTACGAAACATTTCACGTTATATTTTAATCATGGAACTGTCTAAAAATATTACTAACCAAAAAGCTAAATTATAAAATTCTTTCTCAAGAACGATGTTCATATGGCCTCAACTTTAAAATCTTTTCAACATCTGAAACATCAAACTCTATTTTTATCATCATTATTTCTTAAAAATTATAAACATTAGCGGGGCACGCCATTATATAGGCTAACATTTTCTTCTAAATAAACATCGGAGTTGGAAAATAACATTACGAACGGCAAAACTATGAACAATGACATTAAAACCAGTAACAACATTACAAACCATATGAAAAAAATCCAGCTTCTACATCAAAAATCTCAATAACATCAATATCAACAAAACAAAAAAAATTCTCAAGAAACAAAACAACATGCCAAACAATCAACAATCAACAACAACTTAAATAAAAACAATTCCATCAACAATGTCTACAAAAAGAAGAAAACAGGCCACAACAGCCACATCAACCACAGCAGCCAGAGTAGCAACAGCTGCTACGACAGCCACATTAACCATAGCAACACACAGCATCTGGAATTCATCGTAAAATTTTCAATTTACCTCGACGAACACAAACGAACAGACATCATTACGTCATTTCTGCATTCATTTATTGACCTACTTTCAATTCATCATTTCTTCATTCACTCCTTGACCTGTTTCCTCCCCAATATTTCTATTCATTACTCAAACTCATTATCTCTCACTCATACACTCATTTTTTTTTATAAAAATCCTTTTTATCTTAATTAACATTGCTATACAAATTTAATCCTGTTATGATTTTTAACGAGAGGTATTTTACTGTTTTTGAAAACTATTCCAAATTATTTATATAAAATTTCATAAAACTATTACAATTAATATTTTTTCCACTTAATTAATGAATAAATAAATTAATAATTAAGTAGAATCAATTAATTGTCTTTAGAATGTGAATGCTAGGGCATAACCTATCACCGCGATTGTATCAATAAAAAAAAGACCGCGTTTTTTGCTTTTTAAGGTCGTTAAATTTATCTATTCAGGCATCCATCATTTTATTCAATTATCCATTTATCTACCTAGTCATTCTTTCTTTTCTTCATTCGTTTCTTCATTTCTTTATTCCTTCCTTTCTTCAGTTTCTTCATTTATCTGTCAGCCGGTCCTTCGATGTAGATATAGTTCGCTTCATTTGAATTATTTTCCTATATTTTATTATTTCATTTGATAAATTGAGTTGTATCATTGTCTTTATTACTTTAAATTTAATTATACTTTAACTTCCATTATCTTTTAGCATTTCCGTTTCATTTGTCGGCGGTTACTAACATAGAAGTTATGGTCATTGCATTGTTTGTTAAAGTTGTTTGTTTGGATGGTTCATTTGTTTTTACATTACTCAGTTCATTTGTTCATTTGTTTGTACAGTGTTCTGTTTATTTGCTTATACAATGTTCAGTTTGTTTGTTCATCCAACCGTCAAAACATGCTTGTTAGTTCCTCAATTATGTTTTCACTTACCCGAACCGAATATGCTGGCAAACATTTCATCCCCTTCACATTGTGTCAGTCTTTTACATCTTTTGTTCACAAAAAATTTTTTATGTTTTTAAAAAAGTTTAAACAATGGAAAACAATAAAGAATAAAAAAAACAAATAATTGAAAAATAAAAAAAATAAACGAAATTGAAAAATGCCTGTTGAATGGAGTGCAGCGTTGGAAACATGGCAGCCAACATGGGAGAGCTCATTTGAAATTGTGCTGCCAACAAGCAAATTATAGAAAGGTTCGTTCAGGTGTCTGCTTGTGTGCGTGCAAGCCACAAATTATCATTTTTATTATTAAAATTAAAAATTTTCATAATAATTATGCAAAAAATTTAATTTAAGACACAACTCGTTCAGACAAAAAGCAGAATTTCCGCATGCAGATAACGTATGAAATCCTACCCTCACGCACTCATTAATATTTCAAATATTACTTTTTCAACTTCTAAATTTATTTCTTTCCTAGACAGGAAAAAAGTTCACACAAAAAACGAACGAAGAAAAAAGGTAGAAAATTAAAACTTGAGACAAGAGAAATAAATTGTTAGGATATTTGTAGCTTTCTGCTGCAACCTGCACTTAAACGATGAAGCGCTAAATAAATTACAGCAAAAGTGAAAAAAAGTGAAAAAAAGGAAATTCATGTGGAAAAACTAGAGAAAAAAATTGAAAAATTGCGAAAGAAAGTTTCAAATATTTAAACTATAAAAAGTGGGATATGTTTTGAAAAAAAAACTTTAAATAATAATTGGATAATTCAAAAATAATTATAATTGAACACACTCAACATAATGTCGTTACAAGCATCTGTAAAATGCAATGGTACATTCTCGCATACACAAATTTCCGTATCATTGTGTTTTGCATACCGGCGTATGTTCGTGTTGTGTACATATCTAAATACCTAATGTAAGAATACGCAAATATATACAATTTGTATACAAATTTTGATTTTTATAAGCATACGTGCGTGTACCAGTACATGTATTTAAAGGCGTACGAACGCTTGTGTAAGTATGTGCGTTTTTGTTGGTAAACAAAAATATGTCTTCTTGTTCTTTCTCTTCGTTTAGAAAATAAATTATGTTACCGCTTGCAGTTAACGCTGTAATTTGCCGTCCGTACCAATGTTGGTTTCATTGCAGGGTTTTGAAGGTCGTTCATGTCTTTTAAATGTTGTTGCTGGTATTGTTGAATAAGTTTTTCGTAGGTTTTCCTATTTCAAATTAATCTCCTATCTATACATGAAAATTTTTGCTTACATAATAACAATGAAGCAACAATATTCTAAAAGATAGTCACAATGTAGTTGTTAATACCAAAAATATTCACCGATCGTTACTGCAAAACACCATACTCATGTGTTCATGCTATTATTTTAGTGAATTTTTCCTTAATTGTTTCACAGATTTATCAACAAAAACAAACTCCGCACATGTAAATACGCATCATCATACACATACATACGCATACAAATCCAGTAACTTCAATAGGCACCATAACCATTAAAAAAACATAAATTAAATGCAATATGCTAAAATGTGGTTACTAAATATCAAGGCCGAGATAGTGTATTAATATGAGTATTATGTATTAATGTATGTATTATGTAATATATGACATATATGTCCGCAATACTAAACATTGTAACGAATAAATAAAATGAAAAAAAAAACGAAAGAAAGAATGAATGAAAGAATGTTGGTATTGATTTTTTGAACAATTGTTGACATTGTGATAGTGCTACGTGTATGGAGAGATGGATTGAACGAGCAGATGAATGATTTAAAGAATGAATATATGAGTAGATAAGTAAATGAATGAGTGACTGAATGAGTGACTGAATGAATGAGTGACTGAACGAATGAACTGATTAATTAATTAATTAATGTATGAATGAACTGCTGAATGAAAAAATGAGCGAATGAAATCAAACGAAAATGCCTTTACAATCCTCAACATACCACACAAGGCAATAAAGCATAGGAAAATAAATTATAAAAGTTACTCATATTATTACATACATTCTTTGACTGAAGGACATGCATTGTGCCTTTCTGAATGCAATATCAAAACTGTCGCCATTATATTTTACTCTACAAACTCGAGTTTGCCATACATTCTCACCATTTATACATTCAGTGAAGATTAATAAAAATATTCTAACATATCAATTTCATTACATCGTCATGGTCATCACCAACGTCATCTTCATTACCATCATCACCACCAACGTCATGATCAACTTCGTCATCACCATCATCATCATCAACTACGTCATCATCGCCATCATCATTAATAAGATGATAATCAATTCAACATCGACAATGACTACAATAATGTCGTGCATTAATCATTAGGTGAAAAACAACTTCATAAATAACAGCATCATCATTCAAAACATATTAAACTTTAAAAATGGGACCGTTATCGTCATCATCATCATTTTAGTCGTCATCATCGTCATCATCATATTCCGCATCATCATCGTTATCACAATCATCATCAACATTACTAACCTTATAAACCTTCACCATTGTCACTATCATAATTGTTATAATTACCATCATCGGTTATTTTCACGAACAGATGTACAAAAAAATTCACATACAAACATTCCTACAAACTAACAAACGCGCAAACAGACAAAACATACATACAAAACATACATACAAACGATCATACAAAAAATATACAAACAGACATACAAGCAAATTCACATACAAACATTCATACAAACTAACAAACGCACAAACATACATACAAACGATCATACAAAAAATATACAAACAGACATACAAACAAACTCACATGCAAACATTCATACAAAGTAACAAACGTGCAAACAGACAAACATACATACATACAAACGATAATGGAAAAAATATACAAACAGACATACAAACAAACATTTGAACAGGTTGTTAGGACTTCAGCAGCGACACAACATCTACCGGCTCCTACCCTACATCAGTCACTCTTCTCTTTCTAATGAATTACAACGAAAACCTAGGACGCCATTAATGTTCCTATCATCATCATCATCTTCCTCATCATCTTCCTTCTCCTCCTCCTCCTCCTCATCATCGCTACCATCATCATCGTCATAACCATTTCTCGTTGATTTTATTTTATCACCATCATCATTATCTTCATTATTGATGATTAGCATCATCATTTCTGTGTTATTAGTGATGTCATCTTCTTAGCATATAATCGTAGACGAAAATATTAACAATGAGTACATAAAAAGTCACTTTTTACATCAAAGAAACTCTACACAACATCATCACTATTACATTATCATTGCCATCATCACTTTCCTCCTCCTCATCATCGTCGTCATCATTCTCAGGACATCATCATCAACGTCATCAGTTTTGACGTCATCGTCAATGTAGCAGTTGTTTAAAAGGACATAACGTTATCTTAGATGTTATTCGGGCTATTAACCATTACTGCAACTGACTCATCTTCATCATCATCATCATCGTCCTCGTCATCGTCATCTTCTTCTTCTTCTCCACCATCATCTTAATCACCATCATCGTCGTCATCATCGTTATTCTTCCCTTCATCTTCAACCTCTTCATCATTGTCCTCACCACAAACAGTTTAAATGCCTCGAAAAGTATTTGGCAGAAGTGACAGACAGGCATCTCAGGAATGATATCATCATCATATGATGAATATGATGAAATGTTAGCACAGATATCTACTTTAAGTAAATAAAAAACCACATCTTACATCAAAGAACTTCTCAACAACATCGCCATCACTATTACGCGACCATTGATATCATCATCAGCGACCTCAGTTTTGACGTCATCGTCATAATTGTCATCATTACCATCATCGCCGTTTCAGTTTTCATCAATTTAATCTCTTTTGTTATTACTTGTATCATTGCCAATATAAGCACTTGCAATAGCATTACTCATTCATTATTATCAGCGTTATCATCGTCATTATCATCGTCATCATCACCATCGTCATCATCACCATCGTCATCGTCATCATCATGTATTCTCGGGCTGGGTTGACGAGATGTACACAGCAGATCAATCTTGTGCTAGCAGGTTTGTATGTGTATGTATGTTTGTATTATGTATTTATATATGTGTGTATGTTTGTTTGTTTATATGTATATACTTGAATATTATATGATAATGATAATGATGATGTTAACAATGATAACAATGAACAGTGTGGTGATAAAAAAATACAATGAATGCAATGATTTCAGTGGTGATGATGAAGATGACCATGAAGAAGATGATGATGAATATGATGATGATGATGACGATGATCCAGGAGACAAAGGTGATAAGCAATAAAATGAAAATTATAGCGGTAAAAAGAATGGTGTGATACCGTCCTATCAATAACTTCATGCTTTGGAAGTCTGTACAATATTCGTACACTGACGTTCAGTGTACATTATGAGCAGATACGTGCACATACACATCGATAAAAATATACTAACGACCATATACAAACTTTATTGTATACAAACATTTTTTGTATGATGTATTTACATACAATAATGTTTAAATAAAATTGTATGTGAATAGTTGTATGAGGAAATGTAGGAGTGAAAATGTTAGTATCTGAATAGAAGAACACATAAAAAAATACAAACAATTGCAAACAAACATAAAAAATATAAACATATATAAACAAACATAAACATACATAAACATATATAGCCACATATAAACACAAATTTAAATATATATGCAAATGTAACGCTGTACACAAAATATACAATACACAGATACATAAAAACAATACAAATACACAGAAAAGCATCGAGTTAATTGAGATAAAAGCTACATGCGTGAAATTTAAGTTTAATCACATTTGCTTCTCTACGAAAGCCTCAATTTGCAACTTACAATTAGCCTGCCATTCTGTGTGTAAGGCACACGTCTATATAATAAAAATAAAATATATATTATTATGCAGATATTTATTATTATGATGATCGCCATCGGTAATAATTATTATGATCATAATTATTTAACAATGATACATATGGGTATTAATATACTGTGTCAATGTCATGTGTCTAATGTGACGTCATTATTATTATCATTATCATCATCATCATCATTATTATTATTATTATTATCATTATTACTACTATGTTTTTTGTCATCATCATCACCAGTTCATCACTAACAATGTGCCATAACCGAGAACATTACCGTGTTAACAAGGTATAATTGGATGAGGAATGTATGTTTAATTTATATCGTCATTATTTTTATCACCAGTGGCTGGTCATTGCATCATAATCATTTTTTAATCATTGTTGTAATTATTATCATTGTCATCTTTTTCTCCTCACCATCATCACTTAGGCTGTCATTGGCGTAAAAACATCATCGTCATCTTTCACATTAACTTCATCATCAACGCCATCATCAACTTCGTCATCATAGAGATCATCATCATTGTTGTCGTCGTCATCATCGTCGTCATCATCATCTCATCTTCAGGTAGCAGGAAATGTATGAGATGTTGTATTCAACCACAGCATAAAGCTTCATTAGCCGCTAATTCACGTTCTAAAATGGACTGAATTACTGACTGACTGACAGAATGGATGGATGAATGAAAAAGTGAATGAGTGAGTGAATGAATGAGAAAATGAACGAACGAATAAATGATGGAAAAATGTATAAATAAATGAATAAATGTATGACTGAATAAAATCAACAAACCAAAAAATTCAACAACTCATAACTTTACAGCATTAAACACTAACTTGAACAAAAAAAATGTGAAAAAAAAATATTTTCTAAATTTTAGAAATAGATTAGAAAGGCAATAGTACAACTTGTAAAATGATACCCCATCATATTATGTATCATTTATTTAATGGTAGCTCTGATGGTAGTGGTGGTGTATGCATGTGCGTATTTAGATTTATCCAACCAAGCAGACATAAACGCATTGACGTATTGATGTGATGTACTGCGGATTACATGGCTTGCTGATGAAAAACTAACAAGCGAGATCAAATAGATTCAGATTGAAAAATTCGCCCTGAGGTCTCAACAACAAAAAAAATGAAAATTTTCAATGAAAAAATTAAGAAATTACAAAATTTTGTGAATTGTTTTGAAGATATAAATATTGAAAAAAGTAAAAAAACAATTTTATGTTAGCTTAATGTTTTTATTTTTGTTTTTCAGAATTGTCATTGTTGTCAACATCCACATCGTCATCATTACATTTATCTTTATATTAATTATTTTCTTATACCCCATCACATCATGTCGTCCCCTTTACAAGCTTAATTCTATAAGTCACCATCATTAAAACTTTTCATTATCAGTTAATCCCAATTTTTCGTATTCAACCCAACAACAGATCGTTATCATTCGACAGTCATGTTTTTTGCAGTAAACATCATTACAGCAGCAACATTATTCGCGACAACAACAGCAACTACCGCTACCACAACAACCGCAACAGCTGCGACAAAATTACCAAATAACGATATAAATATCTATAATGAGAACATAAGAAATATCGACACCATTAGAAACAGTATTATCAAACAGGCTAACTTTCCAGACAACAACGAAAGTAACAACCACAACAATAACAACGGCAACAATATCAGCACCAATACCACAAACAACAACAATATCAACAACAAAAAATCACCTATCACAAACTGGGTGATAAAACCAAAAATAAAACGCAACAGCAAAAACAGCCACACCAGCTACAGCAACAACCACAACAACGACCAACATAACAAATACAGCCACAGCAGCAGCAGTTATCGTCGCAGCCACAACAAAATAGCGAAATCTTGCCTAAGAAGCAGTGATTGCGATACAAGCATCGGCGAATCCTGCTATTTCCTCTACGAAGGATGCTCTGCTGGTCACTGCATGTGTCAAAATGATTACAGACACAATGGAATCATCGATAGATGTCGCAAAAAATTTAGTTAGTTTGGCTTTGTTATCATTTTTTTTATTAATTTCTCACTTGTTGGTAGTTTTTTGAAAATCTATGGTGAGCACCTTTGAGAAAAATATCAGACAATTTTTTTAACATTTAAAAGGAGTTTTTCATATACAACCGTACATTGATCGTGCATCACCAATTCTAAAGGAGTTGCATTGGCTGCGTGTTAAACAAAGAACCATTTTCATTTTGGGTGTAATGGTATTTAAAAGTTTGAATAGTCTGGCTCCAAAATATTTAGAAGATAAATGTAATGGAGTTTAATGTATGTCATCACATGGGCGTCTAAGGTCTGCTGATTCAAACACGCTCTATGTTAGAGATCGGAATCTGAAAACAGCAGATAGAGAATTCGCAGTTGCTGCGCATGTTTTTTGGAACAGCCTACCAATAGAATTACGTTTATTTGGGTTATCATTAACGATTTTTTTTAAATTAAAACCAAAAAATTTTTGTTTATTTTTTTTTAAATCAAAAAAATCATTCAATTTTGGAAAAATTCACGAAAAAAGTTGCCTAAATTAGATTAAAAAATTCAATTGAAAATAAATAACGAATACGTGAATTCATGAAACGCTGCGCTAATTAAAATATTCAAACGCGTTTGTATCAGGGTAAAAAAGGAAAGTAATGAGAAAGAGAGAGAGGCAGATAGACAGAAAGAGAAATGAAGGAAAAAAACTAAGAGTAAGAAATAAAGAGAGGATGACGCAGAAGAAAAAAGAAACAGAACAGAGAAAGAAAGAGAGAGAGAGAGGGAGAAAAAAGTAGAGAGAGAGAAAGAAGGAGAAAGAGAGGGAGAAAGAAGGAAAGAAAGAAAGAAAAGTGAAAGAAGGAAAGAATGAAAAAAAATAGAAAAATGAGAGAGATAGAGAGAAAGAAAGAAAGAAAAATTTAATGTAATTACGAGGCGCATGTTTGTTAATTTAGCCAACATTCACGCTTCCTTTGTGGCTTGATTAACTGAATGTATAAATAGATGGGAGAAGAAAAAATTATCTGAAAAAAAAATAAAATTAAGAAATAAATAAAAAAAGTAGAAAAATGGCAAAAATATCAGGGAAACTTTCAAGATGTAAATAAAAATTGCGTCATAATTATTACATTTTGCTTTTGGCGAACTCTTTGATCAGAATCGACAGTATTACTTTCATTATTAGATTAGTGTCAATGTCACTATGTGAGAAGATGGCTGTTGAAAGTTGATGTAATCACTAATGTCATCACTATTTCATCACTGACTGTGTTTCGTACTTGCTGCAATCATTTGTTTTATTGTAATTGTTACTGTCATCGTTATCATTCCTTGTTCGTCATCATCAACATCAATTTAATCATCATCAATAATATCTTATTTCATCGTCAACACGTCACATATCATCTTTTTCGATCGACACACTCACACACATAACCAGTTAACGAGTCCTGTACTCGCAATGGAGATTGCCACGCCGAAATGATATGTGCACCTGCAACCATCATCAACAACATAAACAGCAACCTAGACAGCAACTTTGACAACAAGTTTCTGGGCAGCAGCAGCAGCAACGACAACAACAACAATAGCCACAACAACAAATTAAACACCATTAACAACTTAAACAACAACAGCAAAGTTTGTCAGTGTCCAGAGAAAACGATAGCGTCAGACGATGGAAGTTTTTGTCTGGTTGGTCAACTGCACAGACTCCTGGGAACAAAATGTCAACCGTCCACTCACGAATGTTTGCAGAAGGCAGGTCTGTCTCTCTCCCTCCCTCTCTTTCTCTCTCTTTCTTTCTCTTTTTCTCTCTGTCTTCTTGTCCATCGATTTCTGCGTCTATCTGTCTATATGTCTCAAAGTTTCTAAGAATGATAGATAGATCGATGCTCATATAAATATGAATATGTATATGAATGAATGAATGAATGAATAAATGAACAAACGAACGAACGAAGGAACGAACGAACGAATGAATGAATGAATAAACGAATGAGTGAATGAATGAACAAATGAGTGAATGAATATCTGGTGGATGAAGATTTTGAATGAGTTTGACAGTTAATTAGGCTGTCCGACTAAAAATATGGACAGATTGATAAATAGATAAACGCTTATGAATATATCGTTTAATATGTATTTATATATATCAATGATATCTCATAAAATTTATATATATATATCATTGATATCTCAAAATTTATACATATATATGTATATCTATATATATATCTTAATAGATACTAATATGTGTATATCAAATAATTTTATGGTTGACCAAATGCGTGGATGATAAGATAGATGTGAAAATATAAACGACTATCATTATCACTATCGGTCAAGTTCATCATCATCATAAACTCCATCATAACATCATAACATCGTTAGCGTCATCACTATCAGAGCCAGCCATCATCATCATTACCAGCAATAACAACATCGTCATCGTTATTATCATCATAGTCATCATCACCATCACTATCATCATCATCATCATTATCAACATCATCATCACCATCAGCATACGGCTATACAAGAACGGACACGGAATGTCATTCGGAGCAGAATATTTGCACGTGTGTGGAAGGGTTCAGGAAGGAGAGAATGGCCTGTCTTAAGAGTTGGTTCTGATGACGGTGACGATGATGATGATGTTTGTACGTTTGCGTGTTTGCATGCGTGTCTGTGTGTCAGTGTATGCCCGTGAGTGTGTGTTCCTGTGATTGTTATGTTGTGTGTGTAATTGTGTGATGAGCATGTGTGTGTGTGTGTGTGTTGTTTGTATGTGTTGTGTGTGCGTGTGTGTTGATTGTGTGTTTGTGTGTGTGTGCGTCGTTCGCTTATAAACAAACACTTGGTATTAAAATGAACGTTTATGACGGGTGTTTAGTCGCATCATTCAACTAAGACATGATCGGATTTAAGCTTCAAGTTGCTTGCGTACAAAGTTTCAGATAACAATGAAGACAATATCAACAAAAACAAAAATACTGATATTACTATGAGAATAATAACAATTCTTATTAGACAGGTTTTGCCAGAAATAATACAACTTATCCAAAAACATCTCCAAAATATTTTACAACATTTATAATTAAACATGTCTTATTTGTCTATTTAGTAATATATATTTGAGTTCAGTGGTTAACAAAAGTTGTAAAATATTTAGAAGATGTAACATATTTTTTGGGAAGTTGTATTATTTCTCGTAAAACTCATTCACAATGAAGATGATTACTGATGACGTTACTGTTGACGTCACCGCTGCTACTAACTATGATAATGATGCTGACGGTCATAACTAAAAGTTTGATGACAATAATATTTTTTTTTTTTAATATTTTATTTATTCATCAATTCAAATCAAACAATTGTAAGAAATGAAAATGATACGGAGATCAGAAAAGAAAAGATCTTATGATAGACCACCGTTAAACAGAAAAATTTCATTTAAAATAAAGAAATAGACATTAATACAAACAGAACTTTAAAATTAGACTTGCGTACAGGCTACAAAAAATATTGGCAATATAATGGATTGAAACAGCATAAAAACATTGACACGTAGTCCAGCGAATAAACCAATAAAAATTCGTTATTGACAAAGTATAAATACAGTTGACAAAGAATACTGTTCAATGATATTATGATGATCGTGTCCACATACAAACACGAGCTTATACATGTTTACATATAAACACATTTATACACATGCACACATATGCGCACATATACACACATTTATACATTCCTAATCCTATAACAACATATATATATAACCCACATATATGTATAATAACATAGCATACCTAAATAGTGATATCATGAATACAGGATAAAAGGAAAGTTTTACAATGATGTTTGAAACAACCCGGTTTGGGGAGAGAAGTGGTAGATTGTGGCAGAAATTTAAACCAAATTTTAAAGGGAATAATGTAAGGAATAAATATGCCGGGTGAAGTTAAAACAATCCGAAGGTTTTTGTATTAAAAAATTAGAAAAGTTAGAAGGTAATCGGTTATTCATAAATTTATACATGAAAAGGGATGCATTAAGAATAAATAATTGAAATATGGTTAGCACGTTTAAAGAGAAAAAGTAATCATCAGCATGGTCAGTTTGTTTAAGATAATATATAAGTTTGATAAATCTTTTTTGCAACTTAAATAATTTTAAAATATAAGTTTTTGGAGAGTGACCACGAATAATATTACAATACGAAAGATGAGGGAAAATAAAAGCGTAGTACAATTGTAAAAACGTAGGAATATTAAGCTTATGCCTAATTTTGTAATACTATCCTAGTGTTTTGCTAATTTGAGACGCCAGCGAATCAATATGTTCAGCCCACGACAAATTATCAGAAACAACGAGACCCAATATTTTGGCACTGGTTTTCCTTTCAATGGAAATGACGATGGAAATGGAAATGACGATAATGACGATGGTGATGTTATGATGACGAGGGTGTTGTTGCTGCTGCTGATGATGATAACAAAGATGAATGAAGATGACGATGACGTCATAAAATATTGACAGGGGACGTTGGAGAGGCGGGCTGCAGGTTTTCATATCAATGCGAGGGCGGGTCGGTGTGCAACGATGGCGTCTGCATATGCCCCACAGGTTTTGAGATCAACAGCAGGTACCCTAACAAGTGTGTCAGTAAGAAAGGTCAGACGATGTGTTGTAATGATGATGTGATGATGATGTGATGGGATGATGTGATGGGATGATGTGATGATGATGTGATGATGTGATGATGATGTTAGGGGATGGTGTAATGATGATGCGATGTGTAATAATAATGCGATGTGATGATGGGAGATAATGAAGGTGATATATTAGTAAAAAAAAGTTAGATAATGATGTGATGTGAAAATGTGATGATGTGTTATTGTGAGTGACAAGTGTAACATGATGCATAATAAACCACACATTATTTCCTACATATTTTTATTTTTCCTCTATTGATGATAAGTTGAAAACGAATTTAAGTTATGACGCACTGAATATAATTTACACGAAACCAATAACATAAAAACTTGAAATCAGACAAACAAGACATCCTAACAAAGAACATTAATAACAACATCGACAAACAAATAAACTACAAACATCATCGGCCAACCATAAAATAATGACGGCGACATCCGTTTCTTAGATCAATCACGTGTCAAGATACGTCACTTCCGCTTTTATGAACCACTTCCGCTTGTGCACGCTCACGTGTTTGAGTAGCGAGGCAGCAATCTAGGACTCATATAAATAGTTTTTTTTGTTTTTTTTCTCGAAATTTATAACAAAACTAATTTTTCTAGCGGAGTTTATGCATGGGTGTTCATAGATTTGATTGAGGGTGTTTGAGTCCAATGGATGAATGGATGTCTGAGTGATTGGTGAAGGAAACATCGCATCTCTTTTCATCAGTCTTTCGTGAACTAGCTGAATATTATATTATGAAACAAATTTTTTTGGAAAGAAATAAAACTTATATTTAACGTTATGACAGATGCAAATGAGCCTATTGAAATAGCGTAACATCATGTGACTCCGTAGTTGTCACCAATAACACACAAAATAATCTCGATAAATTATATGAATATTATTTTTTTGCAATTTGTAATTTAAAATTTTGAAATCATATTAAATTAATAATGATATTAATAGTAATTATTTTACTATTACCTAATAATCAATTTTTTTTATAACCTCAAAATTCACCCAGCTTCAGTAACTGAGGTTATTTTGCACAAATCCATTAAGTCTTTCACTTCGAACTTTGGCACGTCTTTTCATCTTCACCATTTTGCTTTCAATTGGCAGACAATATATATAATTCTTAAAATATTGGCGTCACATAACTTTTCATTTGTACTGTAATCTTTACCGCACGATTTTGTAATGATTGCAGTTCGTTTAAGATCGACTTTGAGCAGCCGCTAAGCAAACTGTGGCAATAATCAACTCAACTGACTACGAAAGCATGTATGAAAGATTTTGTTGCATTCACATCAAGAGAAGTTCTTATGTGGCCAATCTGTCGAAGCTGAAACGAACACTCACCGATGATGCTGATGTTCATTAGTAATAATAATTGCACAAAAAATACATAGACGGTAGGATCGATCATGTATTTTTTTGCTAGTTTGAAAGAAATGGGCGTCTGAGTATGCTGGCGCGTGAGCTAATGAAGAAAAAAAAATGACTTATTGATGGAGTGACGTTGCGGAAAACAAATGGAAAGATGATGGCGATGAAGAGGATGGAAATGGAATGGTGGGAATGATAAGGAAGATGCCGAAGATGATAATACGGTGATGATGGTAATGACGAAGATGAGATGCAGATCATGAAGACGATGATGATGATCAGCAGTACCAGTCAGTCAGAGAGAAAAATAAGACGAAAACAAGCCTAATAATAACAATGATAGCATTGAGATGAGACAGGGCGTGTCATGACGTCACATAATTGACTGATGACGTCATTATTGAGATAGGAACAAGAACTTCGTCGTTGACAGTGACGAAGGTGATGACGTTCCTGATGATAATTATTTTGACGATGATATGATGATGAAGATGACGATAATGATGATGATGACGGTGATAATGAAGATGACTGGGAAGATGAAGATGATGGTGAAGACGACGATGGTGAAGATTACGATGATGATGAAGATGAGTACAATTTATACCGCTCTTTCTACCATAATGATAACGGTGATGAGACAAATGGTGATAGAAGGATGACGCCAGATGATAGAGTGGATGATGAAGAGAGTAACCATCTTGATGTCGTCGTTAAAGTTGTTCCTGCTGGTTTTATTGTCTCAAACAATGCTTACATCTGCTCTCAATGCTGTTGCTGTGATGGCTGTTGCTGTTAATGTAACTGATGTCAGGATTTTGTTGCTATTAATGTTATTGTCGTTGATGTAATTAGTGTTGATGTCATTGGTGTTGATGCCATTAACGTTTTAATCTTTCTTTTGTTCTGGCGTTGATGTTTTCAAATGCTGGAACTTAAATTAACCCATCCATTTGAGTTTGGCGCTAAATGTCAAAGCACTTATTGATATTTCACATTTTGTTGGGTTCTTTATATTTTTTCGTCGTGATTGAATCTAAGAGGCTGTCGTCATCATCATCATCATCATCATCATCATTCTAGTTAACATCATCTTCATCATTATCATCATCATCATCTTTGTTATCATCTCCATTACCATCATCTTTACTATCACCAACAAGCCAGCAACGTCGTAAATGTTGTTCCTGATTTATCTAACAGTTAATCAAAGTCGCCTTTGTTTTTATGTTGTTCAGTTTCTTCTTATTAATGTTTTGCATTTCTTGGCGTTTGTTTGTTGGTCTGTTTGTTTGTTTGTAGTTAGCGTTGTTTAAGTTGTGAATTTGGTTATTTGTTTTGTTGTTTCGGCTGTTGTTTAAGTCGTGGTTTGTGTTGTTGTCTATGAATTGGTTTATGTTGTTGTTTATAAATTGGTTTATGTTGTCGTTTACGTTGTTGTCTTTTTTTTATGCAGGAGTAATTACTTTTATAATTTGTTTTTGTTAAGGCGGTTGGTTGTTGGTTTTACGAGTGGGGTTTCACATTAGGCGCGCAGATTTATGAACAACTGTTGCGTAGTTAAGATTCTCTTCACTGTCTAGCTGCTTTTTTTCAATAAATGAAACTAAAAATCAATAAAAAAAAAAGAAATTAAATCAATCCAAAACGTGTTCATGCGTTTAAAGATGAACTTCGAATTTGAAAAGAAAATCTTGTTGCCACTTTTACATTCTCTAATCATAGGTGGATCCTTAATCAGCCTAATCAACTTCACCATTTTCATTGCAATCATCTTCTTAATCATCGTTATAGTCATCATAATCCTAATAATAATAATAATGAACTTTATTATCTTATGATTTTTATCTTTATAATGTTCACCATCATCATTGTCGCCAAAATTTTAATAAAAAAAAAGAAGTCTGACCATAAAAAGCCGACATATAAAATTAAATATCATTAACATTACTTCTGTAAATTTATTATTATTATCATTATTATTATTATTTCATGTTCATTATTGTTATTGTTGTCAATGATGATGTTATTAATAATGAAGTCTTTTCTTATATACTTACATATTGCCTTAAGGCTTCTATTGTCAACATGAACCATTCATTACCTTAATAAATATCATCTTTGTTTCAAGATCTCAATTGCAATTGGGTATTATTATTATTAATTTTATTCTTATTGCTATTTATGTTGTTATTGTTAGTGCTTTTATTATTATTATTATTGTTGTTGTTGTTTTTGTTATTGTTATTTTTAGTGTTTTTCTAATTAATATAATTGATAGAACACAATTGTTATTATCTGCCCTCTTAATAACGTTGAATTATGCTACCACACAATAGAAATTATAACGATTATATTTTCTTTGTTTCGTAATAATAATAATAATAATAATAACAATGATAAAAATAATAATTATAGATGAAACATCATTGAATTTTGAAAACCAAGAAAGGTTAATGACACAATAGGGGGCCTAAAAAAAAATTTTTTTTTCAAAAATTTTTTTTGGTTGTTATCAATATTTTATTTTTTTCGTATTTATTTTTTGCTATTAATGACGTTATTATATAATTATTTTTCCTTGATATCGTTGATATAGATGATGGATAACAATGACGTAAAACGGATAGATATCTCAAATTTTGTCAGGATATCATATATATGTATAGAAATTGTTAAAAAATTAATATTGAAAAAAGAAAAAAAAAACCAATAATATGTACAAATGTCATATTTTTCATAAAAAATTATTTTTTCCAGTTTCTCATTTCAGCAATGTTTGCCGATTATTATTTTTCTTGTTTGTTTATCTTGAAATACGAGATCTAGTATTTGTAATTATTTCTTTTTTTCGTCCTGGAAAATTGGAAAAAAATTGTTTTAATGTCCTTTCTTGAAAATATTCATTGGTATGTTTTCAAAAAAAATACTAAAAAAACTAACAATCATGTGTTATTTTCTAAGTATGTAGCAATGGTAACAGTATTATATCAATCCCACTTCATTGGTTGCTTTGTTCATGTATTTAAAAATTATAAATGCAACAAACCACTTGTTGGCTAATGTTATTCGCATTGTCTTCTACAGTTACAAAGATAAAATAGTATCAGTCTTATAAAATGTTTTTGATAACAAGGAAATAACATTTTGATGACGTTGATTACTAAAAATATATTTATTTGTATTATTGTTATTATTATTATTAAATTTATTTCTATTTTCATTATTTTTTAATTAAAATAAATCAATCTGTCCTCTATAGAAAAATAATGAAAAGATGAAAGCAATTACTTTTATCTTCCCATCAAAGTACAAAACGATAATGCATCATACATAGTATAATATTAAATGGAGAACTAACAAAGCGGAAAAAAATGGAAAGCCACTTATCTTTAGATAAGCTAAACAAATATTTAAAAAAATCGAATACATACACACAATCATACATACGTACATACACACAATCATACATACGCACACAGATACGAATACACTCATACGTACACACGTACAAAACTGATTAAATATCTGACGATGACAACAGTATACAGTGATGTTAATTGGTTTGTTCTGCTCGTGACGTTTGCGTTTTGTTTATGTTCATATTGTTCATAACCAAATTTATATTGCTCGCATTATGTTTATATTGTTTGCCTCTAAGTTTATACTGTTCTTAGCTACGTTTTTTATTGTTTATATCTGTGTTTATATTGTTTGTATCAAAGTTTATATTGTTTGCGCTGTTCGCATTTTATATGTATTATTGTAATCTTTAAATGTTCCTTATGTATTTTGTTCATGTTATATGTCTTATGTTTCTGTTCATTACGTTCCCACCTCATGGCCATGTCTATTCTGATTATCGCATATATATACGTATATAATGCTTATTTAGTATATTAAGGTTTTCAATGTTTATATATTTTGTTTGTTTATATTGTTCATAATTCTTTGTTTATGCTGATACACAGTTCATATCGTATCTTTTTTTTATGATTTACACTCACGTGCTTTTTGTCGAGTTTTTGTATGTTCTTTTTAGTGTCATTTTTGTATCTGCTTGTAAGTTTTATTTCGCAAATTGGTTTATGCATTTGTTGAGTTTTTTTTCACCTACAACTCTAGTTTGCGAGCAGCATGTGCTGTGTTGGACATGAAACGTGGCTGGCTGTGTAATGAAAATTTCGTGTTAACATATCAGCGCATGTTTGCTTGTACCCAGCTTTTGAGTTGGTTCATATTGCAAATAAAATGTTGGAAATAACGAAAGACAAATGTTATTGAGGGCTGAAGTGATGATGAAAATGGCGTTATTGGCAATGATGATGATGTTTGTGACAATGATGGTGATAATGATGGTGATGTTGATGATGATGGTGATAACGATGGTGATGTTGATGATGATGGTGCTGATGGTGATAATGAGGATGATGGTGATAACGATGGTGATCACAATGACATCATTGAAATGGAATATTGGCGTCTGACATTTCCATTGTTGATGGTTTCTTTATCGTCTTTTTTCCCTGCTATTAGTTTTATGCTGCGTGTTTTGTTTGCATTTTGTATTTGCTGTTTAGGTTAAATATTTGTGGTTTATCTCGAGTATTCATTGTTTTTGATGAACATTTGTTATTTGCGTTGTTATCACATTCTGTTTATGTTGCTGGTCAAGTTTTATATATGACATGATTGTTGTTGCGGTTTATTTTAAGGTTTAACATCTGGGGTTCAATCGTTTATGTTGTTTGTGTTTAACATTCGATGTTTAGCCATTTATTGTTGTTGTTGTTGATGTTGTTGGTATTGCCTGGACTACTTCCCGCCATAAATTAAGGAGACAGCAAATTGAATTCTCATGTTCTCGTGAAGAGACATGCTTATTGTCGCTACTGTTGTTGTTGTTGTTGTTGTTGATGATGTTGTTGCTGTTGTGGTTGATGATGATGTTGTTGTTGTTGTTATTTGTGAAGTGCTGATTTTGTTCTGTTATATTTATTTTATTTATTGCCACTTCATTTTGGAAATTTTGTTATAAACATAAAATTTTTTATATGGTACAACACGTTGTTGTGGTCATTTGTGTCCATTTTATTTGTTTTTGTTTTTCCAGCGTCGTCAAAATTTTGTCGTTGTGGTTGGTGTGATGTATCATTTTCATGTTGTTGATGTTTCAGTTGAAATCATGATGCGTCGCAAAGGTTACAACTTTTGTTTTAGTTTTTGCTATAATGACTTTTATTGAATTTAACCAGTTAAAATAAAATAAATATTTACTACTATTTTAATGAAAGAATTGAAAACACACTTCGACAGAAATGTATGAAAATAAGAATTACGACGTGAGATGGTTAAAAATAATTACTCCAATTACATTCACTGCCCGACTAACAAACGCTTTTAAAAATTCTTCCTACACAAACATCCTTCATTCCTGTCAATAATTCATATGCAAAAAATCTGTCATAAACATTTTTTTCGGCAAATCTTTTTTCAATCTTCGTATCAATCTATACGTTTATACATTTGTTCGCTTATATTTGGTTGTATGTATGAATGAGTTCTCCTCGAATGATTTCTCCGATTTTTTTATTTCATTTTCGTTCATTGTTTTGTTATAATTCATTTGCTACTAGACATCTGCGTCTTTTTTATAAAATATGCACTTGCTATTCAATTTTTTTTTAAATTTATTATCAATTTAATATTTTAAATTTCACTAATAGTTACATGGAGAATTAGAAATTGGAGATTAGTATTGAAAATCCCACCATTGAGGACATAAAAAGAACAAAAGTAAAAAATACACACGCAGCGAATATGAGAAAGTGGCGGTACGTCTGTATTTTTTCTCTGAGCAGTCAGGCTGGATTTTTGAGTGACCAAGGCAAATTTTGAATGACCGGCTGGACTCGATGGAGATTTAAAATTTTATCAATCAATTAATCACGATCAAAAAAATCATTTTATTAACCGGCAATTCTTCAATCGAATCTCTATTACTAACTCATATGACGACTCAACAAAATTCACGTGATGATCCTATGAGAGGACACCACACGACACAGCAATACACCACACCAAACGACGACACCGTACCACACAACGACCACACAACGCCACACAGCGACCACACGACACTAAACCACATGAAGAACACACGAAGAACACACTATACATACCACTGCACCACAGCCAACAACAACGCAACCACACCACACGACATAAACAGCTGTGAAGAACTTGAAGTTGGGGATGAGATGCAACGAGATAGACAGCGTGAGTTACTGTGAGAAAAGTCTCATATGCCACAGGTGTCAACCGTCACATCCGTATACCTGTGTTAGATGTAAGTTTTACGTGAACATGTGCGTGTGCGTGTGAGAGAGCTTGTGTTTAGAAAAAAGAGTGTGTATATTTGAATGTGTGTGTGTGTGTGTGTGGGGGGGGGGTGCGTGTGTATACGTACATGTCTATGTGTACGTGTAGCGGTGATGTACGTTATTTTGAGTGTTATTCCATTTTGAAATCATAATTTATTCATTTAGTTTACTTCAGTGTGTGAGTGCGTGCATTAATTGTTGCAACAGTTGCGAATCAGTGTTACTGTGTGGCCGTAGGAGCAATGCGTATATTTTAGCGTGTGTCTGAATGTTGAACTAGCTTGCAAGTAAATCATTTGACGCGTAGCAAATTAAGTACTACTTATAAATAAAAATGTGTCTTTGTACTCTTGCATATTTTATGTTTAGTTAATTATGTGGGTTCTGAAAAGAGGAGTGTAAAGAAAGACAAAAAATAAAGAACAATTGAGGTGAAGAGAAAAAAAGAAAAAGAGAGAGAGGGAAAGAGAAAGAGAGAGAAATGGGGAGAGAAACAGAAAAATAGAAAGAGGGAGAAAAATATGAAAAAGTTTTTTCTTTTCGCTTTTCACTTTCAAATTTTTTTTTATATATAAAACGAATAAAAATTGAAAGCGAAAGTGAAAATGTAAAAGAAAATGAATAAAAACCGCAATTTAAGAAAGTTGAGATCCTTTTCATGTCAATAAACCAAATTTATATAGGTATATATATATATAATTATCAATATTAATCCCAACCAAACATTAATCAAACTAATTGCATCCTGACTTATTTTGTGTTGATATTGTATTTGGGTATTTCAACATTTTATCAATTTGATTTAAATGTTTCAGGGTTTATTTATTTTTTGGTAAATTCTGTTCTTCTTTTTTTATGATATTAAATCCACGTTGTATATATTTTTAGTCGGAGCAAGGAGTTTCTTTCAAGGTCTTATTCTCATAAATAAGTTAATAAATATTTCTCCCAGGCGAGCAACAAACTTATGGTAGAAGGAACGTCATATATTAATTGCTCGTAGTCTCACTGTTGAGAAATAACATTCAGTGGAGCAGAGGTGCACAAACGTATGAGCAAACATATGCACACACATACACACGCACGCACACATACACACACACACGCACACACACACGCGTGCACATGTTATAGACGCACTTGGAAATGAGGATGAACAGAAAAAGCAGTCTCGATACGTTCTACTTGCTCCATCATAAAAGCCTTACGTGTTGATAAGCGTTTGAAACACCTGATGCCTTCCATTGATGATGATGTGATGACGACGACGAAGATGATCACGATGTGGATGATGATGATAATGATGACCGAGAAGATGAGGAAGCTGATGTTTATAAAACTGAAGATGATAACAAACACAATGATAATGAAAAAACTGGAGATGATTACGATGGCTGTAATGTTGGAATAATGAAAATGCAGATGACTACGATGATGAAGATCAAATAACGATGATGATTATATTATTGGCGGTGATGACAACCACATTAATTGTAATTATATTTATAATCAAGATATATTTTTAAAATAATTATAGCTATAATTATAAAATAATTATGTTTTCAATGAAAACAACTTTCTAAAATGTGATTAAGTTAACCAACTCGGTAGACACATTTTGATTTCGTTTAACATATTGCTTCTTTTGTTTTGTTTTGCATTAGCATTATTTTATTATTTCACTATATATATATATATATATATATAAATATTTTGGTAATAGACCATAATTTTTACAATATTCTATAAATTCTACCGAATGTTTGGCGTTAATATGTTTGTAGTTCGTTTTTTTAAATTTTAGTTTTGTTTGTAAACGAACTACAAACATATTAACGCCAAACATTCGGCAGAATTTATAGAATATTGTAAATATATATATATATATATATGTATATGCATCATGCATACACAGAATGGTGCCATTAAGGACCATATGGAACGGGTACATCATCAACCGCTTACGAGGAACATATTGGATCCCAACACAACGATCCTTGATTATGAACCCGATCCAGTTCGCCTTAAAATTAAAGAAGCCCTTCATATCAACAAGCATAAACCCTCACTCAATAAACAATATAACAGCTTTGATCACACTTTGCAATTGTTTTCTCAATATCACGATCTCACACTTACTGTTGCCATTGGGGTTGATCCACAGGATCTGCGTGTACCACAACGATATGAATATCATCCTACGTTGAATACATTTCAACCCATCAACACGCAGTTTGTTACCCAGCGTCATCCGACAACCGTCATCGCGTCGTTGGATGTATTATGTGATACCTAATACTTGATCTATACATAGATATGTATCTTGCATGTACATATATGTATTTATATTTAACTATGTATCCGTAGGTCTGATGTGGAAACTCGTATCACACATATTCAACCGCAATAGTTGTATTTACAACGCATACACAGCAATATTATATATCTGGCGCACATGTCATTCGTAATTAGTTTTCACTAACGTTTCTCAACCATGTTAAAACTTTTATAAAATTTCTATATTTTAATTATTTTACTAAACATTTTATTTAAATTACATCATTTTATTTATATAATCTACATAAACTTTAGTTATTATGATATTTACAACAAGGTTAATTTATTTCACAATTTAATACATATTTTATTTTCTATATTTTCACATTTTACATTAGGCATTTACTTTAATTAAATTATATGTTTAAACAATATTTAGGCTCTGAAGATGGCATTACGCCGAAACAGCGCTGTTAGCTTTATTCCAGTTTTAGATAAATATGAACTCAAACAATACCGCCTCGTTGAATGTCTTATATAGAAGTTAATTAATGCAAAATGGGCAAACAATTTCAATGAAATTTGCATATATATATATATATATATATATATATATATATATATATATATATATATATATATATATATATATACTAGAATAAAATAAATGACAATAATTTATAATGCAAATAATAATAAAATAATAATAATTGAATTCTCCCCACAATTAGTTTCTCCCCAGAGCCACTTTTCATACTTGAAGAGCGTAGCAGCCAGCGACCATTCGCAACACGGCCGGCCAGCCATCATCGCCACTGTCCCAACCACCATAATTATTATCATCATCATCACTCTATATAACCACGTGACGTCAAGTATCGTGACGTCATCGTCTGCGGATGACACGTGATCGGCTGTTGCTGCTCTCTGATTGGCTGGTGTACCATCGTGAAGGAGAGGATGGAGGGAATATGTATAATTATTTTTGTAACGCAGAGTATAATGATTAAATTGTCGTTGTTTGTTTGTTGTTGAAAATTTGTCTGATTATATCGTTTTATAATTTATGAAGTAAATTAATTTAATTTAATTTTTTGATTAATTTGAATGTTTGTTTAATGATGAAAAATATCAGTGATAATGTTTATAGATGTTAATAAACTGCAAAATTTGTACTAATGGAAATTTATATAGATATGTAAATATAATGATGTTGCTTTAATTTAACATATATTGAAACATTTCAATACTATCATTGTCTATATAATCATTATCATCATCATCATCATCATCGTCGTTGTCGTCATCACTATTATTATCATTTTTATCATCATCATCATCGTCGTCGTCATAATAATCATCGTCCCCATCAATAGTTATGTTAGACAAACAAACACATACATTTTTCTGATCATCACACACATTCACACACACACACACTCACGCACATACGCACGCAAAGAAAATACTTTAACCATTGTTACTTGAATAGGTAAGTATAAGTTAAAAATTACTGTTTTTACTGTTGTTCATGTATAATAATTGTTATACATATTTTTATACAGGTACAAACACTTTCATACTAAATTCAGACATATCAAAATTGTCACAAACAAGCACACATACGCGCGCACACACTACACACTTTCATTCAATACATTCACAATATACACACAAACAAGAAGTATGTGTAAGCATGTGAAAATTATCAAACAAGCACTGTATTGATTTTATGATTTAATTAAAGAAGCATTATTTTTTATGTGAGCTAAATAATTAGATTCATGAAATTTATTTTTTATTATTTGTTGTTTTTACAAAAAAAATTGCTTTTAAATAAAGTTGAAATAATCTACCCAGAAATTTCATTCAATTGAATATCAAAATGGGAAAAAACAATTTATGTAATAAAAGTTTTTATCCATCTAAGTTTCATAGCCAATCAAAAAAGGGACAAAGAGATCACATGATCATGAACGTGACCAATCAACGAAAAGAGATTAGCATGGAAGATAAAACGATAAGGTTTGATGAGGAGAAGGAAGATGAAGATGATGAAGATAATGATGAAGATGATAACGATGTGATGATGAAGACGATGTAGATGTGATTGTGATGATGGCAATGACGATTAAAATGACATCATTAACTGAAAAAAAATTATTTTACAATTTTGAAAAAAGGACTAATAGAATTTTGCAATTCTTAGAATTAAATTAATTTTCTACAAAAAGTGTTTTGTAATGAAAATTTTTTGATCTTTCGGGCATAAACAAATTGTTGTTATCATAAAAATTTTTGTTGCTATCGTCATCATTGTCAACACTGTCATCATCATTGTCATCATCATCGTCATCATCATCGTCATCATCATCGTCGTCCTCATCACTAATGTTCTCACAAAAATGGATGTCATCTTTTTTAAACGAGAAAAATTTTCACATTTTAATCAATCAATCATCACGCTTAAAAATTGCAAAACATATGAATGTACTTGTCATAAATTTGTATGAAAAGCAATAAATAAATTTATATATTTAGGGATGAAAATTCAGCCAAAGCTGGTAGAAACCAGAAGCTCATACGAGCTTGTATAGAAAATTACACATGTTCAGTGTAAGTTAGCTTCCTGTTTAATTTTTCGATTTTTCTAACGGTAGATCGTAAATCATTGTCAAGTTTCTTGAGTTCAAAACCAACATTTTTATTTATTATAAGTATGATAGAACAAAGAAGCTTTTTATCGGTCTTCCTATGTTCGAATTGATACGACGTGTACGTCACAGATTGCTCAAGTATGTTTAGTATATACTGTATCTCTACAATGTTAATTTTTTATATAACGTGAATACATAACGATCATCTAATTAGTTATTACAATTTTCAACTTTGTACAACATGACACTTTTACGTGTCAGCATTATTGATGGTTTCTCTGTTTTTAAATTTATTGGTGGGAAGGATTCCAATTGCCCGTTGTTGAATATTTATCATTTTTTAACTTTGTTCGGCTAGTCGTAAATTATAATGGATGTTATTGTAATGAAAAATTTCAATATTGTGGTCCAAAATTTGTTTAGTAAATTTAGTTTTGTGTTTCTCTTTCATGTGATTCCTTATAGAACCAGTTTGTACGTGCATCGTGAGTCTTCTCAATAACTTGGTCGTCATTATAACAATTTAGTTGGAATTATGGTGTCCACACCCACCTACATTACATTTGAACAAATATATTAGATGGCTATTATCCATTATCAATTCTGGCTTGCTAGTGCATTTGTTTTTCATCACAAGAGAATGCCACGTTCTTTGGTTGGAGTAATATATGAAATTATATATATATATATATGTATATATATATATATATATATATATATATATATATATATATATATATATATATATATATATATATTCTTTTCATACCTATATATATATGTATATAAATATATATATATATATATATATCCATAAAACACTGGCGAATAATCTTGAGCAAATTTTACCCAGAGGTTGAAAAGGAAAGAAAAATAATGTGGCTAATAAATAAATTGTTTCAAACAGGAGAAGCAATATGAAAGAAAATCCTAATAAAATATTTATCGTTCTGTGTGAAAATATATTTTTATTTACAAGGAATAAGTGGTTTTGTATATTCTGCTAATTATAATTGATATTAATTTATATAAATGAAGATTAATTTATTTGAGATCATTTATTTTTTTATGTAAATTAATAATATTCGAATAGTACGGTTTATATATTTTTTTTGCCTATAAAATGTAACTGAATCCATTTTTACATTATAATTTTTATTGGCACTAAACTTTTTGATAATAAGATATTAAGAAGTGAAAAACGAACGTTCTTAAAATTTAACGACTCTCATTGTTAATAGAAGAAAAAAAATTAACATTTAAAAAATGAAAATAATCTCAATGACGTCAAAATGACATCATAAATTATTCAATTTGAAAAAGAATTCGATAGCGCTATAATAAGAAAAGTTTCTTCGAACAAAAATAATGACCTTGACTTTGTAAACGGCATTAATAAGGTCGCCTGCCCTTGAAGAATAAATTAATAAATTATGCAAAACTTTTTTAACATAATAAATATTATAGTAAAATAAAATGTAACTTTGGGGTTAGTATATTTTTTTAATTATTTTTTCCAATGTTTACATCATCATAATAATAACACTCGTCTTCATCATTATGATCATTTTAATCATTGTAACCAACGGAAGAGATGTAATATGACGTCATTCTTGTCATTGTTATCACTATCACCATAGTCATTATCATTATTATTATATCATCATCATCGTCAACGTCATTAACAACAAATAACAACAACCATCCCAACAACGACAGCAATTACAACAAAAACAACACCAAAAACAACAACAAAAAAAACAACAATAATAATAATAACAACAAACAACAATAATAACAAAGCAGCAACAATAATAACAACTAAACAGGACAGCCAAAAGATCGGTCGCCAGAGATTATTAAAGTGCGAGAGCGCCAGAGAGCGTTAAAGTGGGAAATAAATAACCAATTAATACTGTTAATGTTGTTAACAGTAGTATTGATAGTATTATTATTATTATTATTATTAGTAGTAGTAGTATAGTAGTACTGATAGTATTATTATTATTATTATTATTATTAGTAGTAGTAGTATAGTAGTTGTTGTTGTTGTAATAGTACTATTAGTAGTAGTTGTAGTAGTAGCTGTACTAGTAGTAGTAGTTGTAGTAGTAATAACAGTAGTAATAGTAGTTACAGTAACAGTAGAAGTAGTAATTATACTAAAAACCGTACTAAGAAATTTTGTTAGTATAGTTGTAGTTATGTTGTAAAATCAACATTACGTGCCATTAATGTAAATGATCTTTGTTGTTATCACTGCATTTAATTACATTATCAAAAACAACAACAATAGCAGCACTCATAGCATTAATAATAATAATAACAACAACAACAATAAAACAATTATCAGTAACGATAA